AGCTGTATTACCTCTCCGTATTCAGGATGTTCAACTACTGTACCATTGCATGGGGCAAACTCCTACAAACAATACACATTTACAGAAAAATCAATTTTAAGGCAAGGTAGGATGGGTATGCTAGTCAATTCTCTCAAAATAGCTGAACACGCTTTGCAATTGCTGTTTTTTGAACCCATTATATGAAAACGGGACAGTTGTCAAAATGCACGTAGAGTTTTTTCTGTGATAAAGCACAGAAAATTAAATCCAGCAAGCCAACACTACAAAAAATGGTGAATTACAGAGCCCCACAAATGAGGGAATTACTTTTTGATCACTAACTTACTATCTTGAAACCCCCTCCTCAAAAAAGAAAGTCCCAAAAATCATCAGTGGCAATGTTCCCAGGAAAAAACACTTTCTGATCAACTTTGGTGCCATTTTGGGTACCTTCATGATCACTTCATACACCCATTACAATTATAGAGATTATCACAATTTGGCAACTACAATTTAGGATTTAACAGTTCTGCAACTAGAAAAGTGCAATAAAACCTCACCTTTTTACACGCTTTCACAAGCTTTCTTTTGTCGTAATCATCAGATATTCCCTGAACAGTAGTAAGGGTCTTGCGACCGTTTCTCTGTTGAATTCTGAAAAGACAAATTCAGATCAGTTAATACAGAACATTGAGTACTGGCCGAGTGCAAAATGGCAGTAGGGAACAAGTTTGTTGCATGTCATTCTTGTCCAACTTTAGTAAATTTACTTTCCAGTGGATGGACCCACACATTCTAGCAGGAGAATTAAGAATTTCCATTAGAGAAAGCACAGTAAGTAGCAAGGTAATTCGTCATTTCACAAGTTATCATTACAGAGCATTTGCCAATGTACCAACCAACCTTGTATAGAATACGACTTCAAATAATAAACAGTCCACTAAAAAAAATTAATTCACCTTTGGTCCAACCTTTAAATAAAATGTGGGTAAATATTTTGAATGTTATATGTACCTTATGTGAATGAGGCCTTCTTGTAATCCCTCGTCAGTGTCACCTTTGGACGCATCAGCAAAGGGATCTAAAATAAAGAAATGATAAATCTAGCAACCTTCAGGAAATGCACACATGGCCAAGCATGAAACTACAAACCCTATAGTTCCATGGGCCAAGGAAGTGTTCTGCAATACTACTTCATGCACGATTTATCACTAGCAAATGACCCGTCAAATGAGTAAATGCATAAACACGACTAGAAGTGAACCAGATCTATGACTATGCAGGTCCTTACTGCATCTGTACTTTAATTTTACATTAACAGGTTTTAATTCAACTATTTTGAGAATATAAACTATAGTATCAAATTGAAATGTAGGTAATCAAGCATATCAAAGTGAATATTTAGAAACATACATAGCAACAAATAAACAAATGGCAAAACAACTTGATAAAGTGATCTAAACAATCACTAAAATTAAGGTCATGACCTTGCAGGAAGTTTCAATTGGTTTCCTGAACATCTAACAATGTTTACACAACACGTCTACTATTAGCAGTATTACATTTCAAGGTCAATAAACAAACATTCGGCCTTGGAGCATAAATCACCA